TAATCGTCTAGTAGTGTCGAGCGGGGCGCCTAACCAGCGGGAGAGGGGTTCTGTGGGGGCCCGGGACGCAAGGCCACTGTTTCCGGGGGAAGGCGCTGGAGAACTGGCCCTGGGGAGGTGGTCCCTGTCTCCGTCTTGCTGCTTAGGTGATGGGGAAGCGTGCTCGCGGCTGTGAACCAGTAGTGCCTCCACCCCCCCCCCCATCCTGATGCTGACATCTGCCTTTTGCGCTGACACCCCCTCCCTGTCAAACTCCGCCGGCTCAGCTCCGCGTTCCTCCGATCCCTGAACAGGCGACCGGGCAAGGCTGCTAGCTGAAGGCACAGCTCCGCAGTTTAGGAGCCCTACCCTTGGGGCGCTACAGCTTGGGGTCTGGGGAGCACCCGCCCCATCCCATTCAGACTCTGGCAGGGGACCCTTGCCCAGGAGGGAACCGCTGTGGGGGGTCCGCCAACATCCAGCTTGCCATCCCATAGTGATGGCGATGCTAGGTTGGGGGGGCACTTTGGGGAAGGGGACTACCCCGATTCCCCGAGCCCGCAGCCGCTGTCGGTGCTGGAGCATGGGTGGGCGACGAGGGCTAGGGGGCGGGCTGCACCGACTTTTCCCGGCTCAACCGCCTTGCAGCCGCTCGCAGATGTCGAAAGCGCAGGCGAGTTCTGACTTGCGCGCTCGTTCTTCCAGCGGCGGGGCGCGCTGGGGAGCCGGCCGCGGGCACTGCTAGGCGTCTGCCGGGCCACCGCGGCCCTCAGGCGGACCCGAGCCGGTCCCAGAACGGCGAGGCGCTGCAGCACGCGCAGCCAGCCCGCTCACAAACTCTCCTCTTAACCCTTCTTCGTGTCCAGTTCAGCAATACCTACTGTTCCCGGCCAACCTGCTTTCAACTCGGGGCGCTCTTTATGCTTGGTGTGAAACGCTATCAACCTTTAAAACTCCTTTGTACCCCCACCCCCCAGTCCCAAATCCTAGTAAGTCTTCCTCGGGCCTCGACTCATTTTCATCTGAAAAGCCTGTTTAGTTTGAATAGAAAGCAATCAGGCGCCCCTCTCCCTGGAATGTCAATTAAAATGCAGATTTCTCCGAGCTCTTTTAGTGAGCGCACGGGGAAGAAAAAGGGGATATTCCAGGCCAGAGAATGAAAGAAATGTTACAATGAAACGGAGTGGTGGTGTGGAGCACCCCAAAGCTGCCCTCAGGGTCTGCCTGACTTGCTTTACCGGGGCGTGCGGGGTCTGTGGCTCTGGGTCAGCCTGTATTTGTTTTCTTGCTATTTCAGTGTGTTGAGGAATCTCCCCGCCAGATTTCACTCCATGGCATCTCCCAGCCTTCCTTAGTTCTGGAGTGTAAGGAAGGGTAGTGGGGAGCCTTTGAGTTCGGGAGATGGCTGTGCTCCAGGGGGTGCGGGGTTCACGGCTTCCCTGACCTGGTGGGGCAGTGCTGACTTGGCAGATGGGAAGTTTACACCGGGAGCGAAGCAGCCAAGTGTTTAGTGTGGGTGACCTAAGTAAACAGAGCTTCATCCCCGAAGGTGGGCGCCTCATTAAAGTCGGGCCCTAGGGGGTTTTGTTGTGAGAAATCTCAACCCTGGTGATTATTGCTCCAGCTAGTTCTCCCCACCGGTCACTTTGCCCGTCTTTGGGGCCGACTTGTGCTGAGGTGAAAATGAAGCAGGAGAGCGGGTGGCCACGAAGATCCAACCGTCAGAGGTAGGCTGAGACGAAAGTTCCCTTTCAAGGGGAAAAATAAACATGCCGGGGCTTTCTCTGATGCTCAGGCTCCAGGAAGGATTATGGTATTGTAGGCAGGAAGCTGGATTGTGGCCGCCAGCGACATGCTGGGCCTGTGTTCCCAACTCTGAGCTCGGGACCTAATTATCCCGCCTAGGGGGCCGCTTTGGACTTTTGTCCACACTGGTGCGACCTGCCGCCCCAGGCCGCTGCCTTGCAGGGACGTGGGGAGGGGGCTTCTGTGGGGCCTGGAGCAGGAATGGCAGAAATGCAGATTTCCAGGAGGAGATGGCACCCCTGGTGGCACAGTGATTAAGGCGCTCGTCTGCTAATAAAAAGGTCAGCGGTTCTAAACCACCACCAGCTCTGAGGGAGAGCGATATGGCAGTCTGCTTCTGTGAAGGCTTACAGCCATGGAAACGCCAGGGAGCAGACGTCCTCTGTTCTGGAGCGTGGCCTTGAGTTGTAATGGACAGCACAGCCCTGGGTTTTGGTGGAAATTGATGGTTAGGAGTCAAGAGTGTTGGTAAAGTTGTGTGAGATGCGAAAATACCCATGCATTTTGGAACTGCTTATTAAATCTATGTGAATGTGTGTTTACCTCCCACATGTTTGTAGAAATAGATAGGGAATTATCTTGGAAGGTACAATGCTAAGAGGGAAGAAGAAATCTTCAAGTGAGCTGAAAAACCGACTTGCAGAGTCTTTTCTTGCTTTTGTGTGAGTTGCAGATTCATGGGAGCTTTCTTAGAAAGCTAGGTTTTCTGTAGGAAAGAGGCTTCAAAAAAGTGGTGGGAAAATGTAATGAAAAGTTAATGGAAATTTTCCACGAACTTTTTGAAGACCCCTCGTATTTCTTTTGGAAAGGATGCCAGCTTCACTTTGCCCTCATTCATTTTCATCCTTAGTCAAGAATAAAGGGGGCTGTTTTTGTCATAGCGTTTGGGGGATCCTCTGGCTGTGTTGAAATCCATAGTTGTAATTTGTAACAAGCATGAACCATTTAGGTATTTGTTGTGGTGTGCCGGGCCCGCGACAGAGTAGAACTGACCCACAGGTTTCCTAGATTGTAATTCTACAAGGAGCCTTGGTGACGCAGTAGTTAAAATGCTCTGTTGCCAATGAAACAATTTTGAAAAGGTTGGCTGTTGGCATCCACCAGCCACTGCACGGGAGAAAGGTGGGCCGTCTTAGAAATCCCATGGGGGATAGTTCTACTTCGTTCTGTAGGGTTGCTGTAAGGTGGAATTGATGGGTGGGTGATCCGGGCTTTGAACCACCAGGTTGGCAGTTCAAACCCACCAATTGCTCCTCAGAAACCCTATACAGGGTCACTATGAGTCAGAAATGACTCGATGGCACTTAACAACAACCTTTATGGGAGGACATCTCCAGGTCTTTTTTCCTTCGGAGCTGTATGGGTTCTAACTACCAGCCCTTCACTTAGCTGCTGAATGGTTGTCCATTTTGCCACCTGGACTCCTGATTTAGGCCTTTAACCTACTGCCATCAAGTCGATTCTGACTTACAGCGGCCCTAGAGCCCTGGTGTGGCACTGTAGGATAAGCACTGGACTGCTAACAGCAAGGTTGGCAGTTCAAACCCACCAGCCACGCTCAGTTGGAAATGACAGCATACAACAATTACAACATAGGACAGAGTAGAACCTGCCCCCTAGAGCTTTCAAGACTATAAATCTTTATGGAATCAGACTGCCTCATCATTCTCCCTCAGGGAGGCTAGTGGGCTTGAACTAATGACCTTTTGGTTAGCAGCCTAATATTTAACCCAATCTACATCCAGAGCTCATTGAGTTATGCCTTTGTTTGGTGGTGGTGATGTGCTGCCGAGTCAGTTCCGACTCATAGCAACCCCATACAGGGTTACCAAGGCTGTAAATCTTTGTTGTTGTTATGTGCCGTGGAGTCGGTTCCAACTCATAGCAATCTAGTATAGGGTTTCCGAGGCTGTAAATCTTTATGGGAGCAGAAAGCCTCATCTTTCTCCCACGGAGCAGTTGGTAGTTTCGAACTGATGACCCTGAGGTTAGCAGCCCGATTTGTAACCACTATGCTACCAGAGCTCCTTAGAGGCCTTATATTAAAGGTTTTATTTCACCTCCCCAGTGTTGTAAATGTGATTCCCTTACATGGTTCACAGAATCTGAAGCCCGGAGGTTAATGCACCCTTTCTCGGTGATTGTTTTAATTAAATTCTGCTCTCTTTGTACACTTAGTAGCTGAATGCATGTCATGTATTTTTTTTAGACTATCGTAAGCTTTCTTTGAAAATGATCCTTGCCTTTAAAACGTTTTGCACACATGAGTATACTGAGTGATTAGTTGAGCGCCCCCTTGTAACTTCTGAAATTTTAGCCAATGATGAGTACGTTGAAAATCGTTGGCCCAATCACATGCCATGCCAATAGTTTGCATATTATCCTCATCATTGGTAGTAAACCGTGGATAATTCATCTGGAAACCCATGTTGGCTTATACTCTGTTTCTTACCTGCCCTTTGTAGGTTGAGGACATTTCCTAGACTTGGGTTACGTGGAAGGGAATCCAGGCTTCCAACCCCATTTTGGCTCAACTGATGTGGATGTAGTTCTGTTTGTTCTAAGTGGCTGTTTGGGGAAAGGTTGAAATACACTTCTGCCTTTGGAAATTAATCAGGACAGGGGTAAACCTGGGGATGTTTTCTGTAGCCTTCCTGGGATGAGTTTGCCTTTGCTGGCCTTCTTTCTAAAACCCCACAAGTCCAGGGAAGGTGGACAAACTTCATCCATGCAACTCAGCAGGAACTCGGGGCTGGAAGCAGAGGCTTGTGGGTCGGTTTTCTAAAGCTCGGTCCGACTCAGAGACGTTCCTGAGGCTGCTGATGTGCTATGAATTTGCTTTTGTAGTTGCCCTTGGAATGAAGGTCATGTTTGCTTCTGCTTTTTGGGGTGATTGAAGGGCGAGCAGATAGATGGAGAATGTGCACATTGCCTAACTGAAGATCTGAGTCCTATCTGTGTTTATTAAGTCTGCTTCGGAAAGAAGAAGTCTAACACATTTCGGGGACTGTCTTGGGGGGGAACACCTGGGAATGTGAGATGAGGATGTAGGGCATTTGCAGATGGACAGGAATTCTGTTTGCACCTAGCTGAGAGGCTGCACAGTGGTTCTGTCCTGCTTGGATGTGAGTAGATTGGCACTGGAAAAGATTTCACTCACTCGCCGAATCTCTTTCCTCCAGTGGTGGCAGCGGTGGTGGCGGCGGCGGCAAGACCAGCCAGCTGCTGCAGTGGTCCCTGGTTCCTGAGCCCACCACAGGCTGAAGACGTTGCTGGCGGTCCATGCCCGTAGCGGAAGTGTGCAGATGGGATTAACGTCCACATGGAGATATGGAAGAGGACCGGGCATTGGCACCGTAACCATGGTCAGCTGGGGTCGCTTTATCTGCCTGGTCGCGGTCACCATGGCAACCTTGTCCCTGGCCCGGCCCTCCTTCAGTTTAGCTGAGGGTACCACATTAGAGCCGGAAGGTAAGGGATTCTCTCATTCCTCTCTCGGGAGTCCCAAGTTGGCTTGGGGATTTGTCTGTGGAAGTGGCACTTTATGGGAAGGCTTGTTTTAGAATCGGCTGCCTTTGCCTGATAATGAACTGAGTCTGTTTGGGGCAGTTGAAGGTGGTTGCTGTGTACCTTCCACGTTCTAGGCTATGAGAGAAGGTTTCTTGCAGTGACACTGAGGGTGGAATAGTATTGGGGGGGGGGCGTGGAGGTGGGGGGAGACTTTCTGTGCTAAGTGTGGGACAGCAGTTCCCATTTATCTGGGAAGCCAGGAATGGACTTGCAGGACCAGATGCATGCCTTGTATAGAGCAGTGTGCCTGCGGCGAGAGAGATGCTTGCTTATAAGGTGTAAAGAATTGCTCTTTTCTGACAAAATGCACCATTAAGGAAAATCGCCATCCTCAGAAATGCTGACATTTTATTTTCATTGTCTAAGAAGCTTCTGAAATCCAGCCATGGAGATGCTTAGCATATAAGATTTAAAAAACAACAAAAAAAATGTTTTTGTGCCATAGTAAATTCATCATACTTAAGCAATGCCTCAAAGAACCTCCCATTCTATTTTCTATAAATTTGAGTGTGAATTTGCCAGGAGATCTCTGTCATCTGGGGGAATTACCAGATGAGTGGGACACACATTGGTGTTTCAGCTCTGGAAATAGAAAGGTTTAAAGCCAGGAGTGGGGACGGCAGGGGCTCCCGAGGCAGCTGGGCAGATTTGGAAGCTCTCTCCGCTGCCTGGTCCTTCTGAGATGTTAGCCAAGGCTCAACTTAGTGCAGCGTTGAGATCTGTCAGCAGCCTGGGATATTGGGAGCCGAGTTCTTTCTGGAGTGGTAATCCGAGACTAACCCGGCACATCCCAGCACTCATCGCCACTTAATGAACCTGTTTGTTGAGAGCCCACCTGGTGCCTGCTGGACTTGGGGAGTAGTCTGGGGTCTTCTCAGCTGTTCTGGTGGGCTGGAAGAAGACAGAAAGCCCAGTCTCCTTTGCCCCATCAGGATAGGTTGGGCAGGAGGACTGTGTTCCCTGTCCCAGCTGAGAGTGCTGCGAGATGGTACCCCAGGCCTGAGTCCCTGAAGAATGTAAGCAAATCTTTCCCCCTAAACCTTCCTGTGAGTGTGATGGACCGGTGAGTTTTGCTGCTCAGTCTAGTGGAGGCTTTGTAATGACCAGGTGTGGCAGCACAGCCTGGCTTCCCAGGACTCTGGGAAGGGAACCAGGTAGGAGCTGGTATCTGAGGCCTTTAGGAACTGCCTCCTTTTAATCTGATGTGTAGACACAGAGGATGGACGTATTGGTTCAAGGACTGAATGGGAGAGAAACGGTTCCCTGTTTCAGAAAGTCAGCCCTGTCCTTCTTTAATTTTGCTAATAATTAAAATGGATGTTTCCCTAATTGCTAGGTTTTCCCCCGAGCCCCTGGCTCAGCACAAACTTAGGAAGCTGAGCTGAGGTTTCTTAGTAGTGAGCGACCCAGGTTAGGAGCAAGCTGTCGTTTTCCATTTGCACGATCAGGGCGGCATCATTGTAGGTTTATTTCAACCTAACGTGCTAAATGACCCTGGAGGATTTCTGTGACCATATTTAATCACTAGAGAATGTTTATAATACATGCAGGGAAAGAGAAGGGAGGGGGTGGGAGGCAGAAAGGGATAAAGTCCCCAGAATGAATTATTGTATAGAAGTTTCTCTCCAACAATTTCAGTATTGTTGACAGCAGCAGGTCTTCCCAACCTGGGATCTGTGGGTGCACTTAAAGTGGAGGGTGGGGCACTCCATGAACCACCCTTTGAAATGGTAGGTCATATTTTGTGAGTCTTATTTTTTTCTGGGTCTGTTGACTTCCTTGGACTTCTGGTGTGGCTCTGTAGGATCAGCACTGGACTGCAAACCACAAGGTCGGCAGTTCATGAAATTTACGCTCAGGGCTTGAAGACCTAAAACAAGAATTCGAGAAAGGAGCAAAACTCTGCAAAGCAGGGGAGGTTTGGGATAAGCATACAGATCTCTGGGCCTCAGTTTCCCTTTCTATAGTATAAAGGTTTAATAAAAAGATCCCTTCTAGTTTGTACATCAAATATTGACATCCTCAGAAGGCTTTTGACACCCTATCTCAGGGCATTGATATTGTTGTGGGCCAGCGAGTCAGTTCTGACTCCTAGTGACCCTGTACAGGGTTTTTGAGGGTGATCGGTGGGTTTGAACTAGTGACCTTGTTGTTATCAGTCTAGTGCTGATCCTACAGCACCACACTGGATCTCCAAAGGGCTGATCGATTTAAATTAGACTTAGACATAAAAGCAGTTAGCACAGGACCTGCCTGGCATCTAATGGGCACCCAGTACCTATTATTATGACTATTGTCCCCAGCTGGCTGTGAACAAGGGCCTTACCAGTTCGGGAGGCTGGCCACGTCAGTTGCCACAATGTCAAGAAACAGCCATGCTTTTGGAGACAGTTGAAAAGAAAATGTTTTCTGCCTGTGTTCCCAAGCAGCTGTGTTTGCTCTCTGTAGGGTCTAGTCCCCTGTAGCGCAGAACTGCAACTGATGTCAGCCCCAAGACCAGTTCCTCCAGCGCACGAGCTCTGCTTTGGCCTAAGGTTAGTAGGAAGGTGATGTCATTATAGATGAGAGGAAACCAGGAGCCAGCTAACTAGGGCAGCTTCAATTTAAGTCCTGGCCCTGACAAGACATGTCTGTGCCCTCAGTAGTTACATTAGCTACAGCTTTGGTTAACAGGTACAGCCTTAACCTTCTCTTGCACAAGGCCTTGTCTTGGAAGATGTGGTTTGTTGATTGGGAAGTGCAGTTTCAATAGTGTTCCTTGGGCTGGACCAGAGGAAAATGTGTCTAGAGAAGTTCTGTGCCTGTGAAACGCCAGGAAAGTGCCTCAGCCCTCCCACGGGAACGCATGCCCTATGTTTGCGCACTGCCATTTTATAATATATATCCTATCATTCATCTTCTGGACGCTTTTTTTTTCTGAAGTGGAAACAACCACTTTGATTCCATCAACTCAACAAACTTTAAGGAAACAAAGTAGATGATTGCTGTCTAAAAGATTTTTGTTGTTAACATTCCTGATTAAAAGTGGCTCTATTCAGTGCATTATTTTAGGGGACCAGCTGATCAACACAGATACAGTTATTGATTCCAAAGGCCTGGTGTGGGGGTGGGCGGTAGTCCTCAATGCCAAAGGACTGTTAGGCTGATTAATATTCTAATTATTTCGAGATTACCCACAGGAGGAGGTAACTCTTACTTTCAAGTTCTTCCTGACTTTGTCACCTACTCTGGTTAATTAAGTCATTGTTGACATTAACGACATCTTTGTTTACACCAGCCCAGTAGGAGCTAAAATAAAAGGGCTTTTCCAACCTAAAACCCTTAATTACTTTCCCACCCTCTACACAGTGCCATTGGGAAGAGCATCGACCTGGGGGGAAAAAGGATTTTGTGACCCTTTCTGAGTAACCTGTGAGGTGGTACTGTTGCGGATAGTGTGAGTTGGTAAAGCCCGAAGACCTTCCTCTGAGGGATTTTTCTAGTATGGTCCTTTGTTAGGAGTATTGTAAATGGCATAATATCAGCCATACACATTTGATTCCAAGTTTAAACAACAGGAGAGAGAGAGAAGGGAATATATCCGCATACCAAGAGTGAATGATTTAAAATAATCTTCTGTTTTATATTATCTACAGCTTTGTTTCTCAATATGAGTGTTAATATTTAAGAGTGGGTTGTAACTTGATAGTTAGCTTAGTAGCAATGACTTATTCTTGGTCAATTAAACCAAATGCAGGCTTATGCAGTTAAAAACACAGTGAAGTACACTTTCTTTATTAGTATATAAAGTATTTCACAATTCGTAGACAAAGCGCTGTGTTTAATATTACTTCTAGAGCAAAAATCTGGCAAGCCTAGAGAATTTGGTATTTGTATAATTTCTATACTGGCTCTTTATGATCCAATGTGTTTTTTGTTATGTTTTGTTTTGACCTATGTGTTTTACCAGTTAAATCACTGAACATCTATCTAGACAAAAAGCCCTTGCCACTGAGCAGTAACCAAAAACCTACGCCTCCAAGTCTTTCCAGTCTAGTTGAGGGTGAGAATTCAGCTAACCAGAGCAATCCAATATGAGATGTTTCCAATGTCAGGCTTAATGAGTAATTACACGGCCGTGAAATAACTGGAGTTGTGTTTATACAGAGTTATACAGAGTTTTAAGGTTCATAGTCTCATGAAAACGTCTCCAAGAGTTTGCAGACTTGCTTGTTGGGGCGTTTACTTAATGAGGGGAATTGTTCAAAAGCTCACAACACTTTCATCAGAGTCTAGCTTTATTTTACATTTCATCTAAGCTGTTTTGTTTTAAGACTTTGAAGGAAAATGTGAGAAACTGATTTTGGGGTGTGGCTCTGTGGGTTAATGTGTGCTATACTGCAAAGTCAGTTTGAACCACAAGGTTGGTGGTTCAAGCTCACCAGCTGCTCCTTGGAAACCCTATACAAGGTCACTGTGGGTTGGAACTGACTCAACAGCACTTAACAACCTAACAACAGCAACTTGTGAAAATAGGTGGGAAATATAGCGCCTTCATCTTGGTTTGACAACTCAGAAATTGTTTGTTTTGTTTTTTGGTGAAAGATTTTCAGCCATCCTACAAATGATTCTGGTCCAGTGGGTTTTATGGGGCAATGCGGAAGTATCCATGGGCTTTTTGTTTTGTTTTTATTTTCCCTTGGGAGATAACTTTTATCCTTTTGCTGCACCCCAAGTTAGCTAGCTTTAGAGATGGCCCTGTGGTTTTAGGGTACCACACCCTGGCAGTCCCTTCTCTCTGGTTTGCCTTTTTTTGTGTGGTTTCTCTTAACAGACAAAGACAATGACAGTCTTTGCTCACTGCAGCGGCCAAACAGATGTTAGGACTGAAAGTTCAGCTTTAGTTGAAGAGCTGGGTTAGA